TTTTCAAATAAAATTTTCATTAAACATTGCAATGTTCTTTGTTTGGATCAATATGCAAATTTATAATTGGGTTTCGGTTTAATACAAACATGGAATTTTAGATGGTATGTTTAGAAAATGTTGTAATATTATTGTAAAAAAAATATAAAATTTAAAAGCATTATAATTAGTGATTTTCGAAGATCAGGATTATGAGTTGTAACTTAAGACAGAAATTCACTTTTAATAAGCTTTAAACAAATTTCTGTAACAATTTTGTATTATGGTACATATATGTATGTATGTATGTATTAACTCCAGTTTTTTTTCGCAATGGTTTTATAAACTATTTGATTCAAGCATTAATATTGTTTTATCTAATTCACCATCTGTTACACACTTCGGCATTGAATACTCGAACTTGATATTCTTGTTTAATTAAAGTTTTAAAAATAATCCTTTAATTTGTAAATGTTAATCCCAGAATCTGCAAGAATCTACAAGTTTAAAATTGATTTTTAAGTAGAAATCAAATGTATAAATAAATTCTAATATAAAGTAAATAAAATTGTACTTTCACGAGATACTATTACTAGCTACTGGCACAACATGTAGATGTAGAAATGTACTCTGTATCCTATTCCACCTCATCGTGTTAAATTTTTAAAACTCTTCTTTCTTTCGCTTTTGCAATTTTTGCTTCTGTCTAATTTGGTAACATACTCTCATTTTGGTTTGGAACAGGATTTGTTCAGCTATGATTTCATCTGCAATAAAAGAACAAAAGAATAAAATATTAATTTTCATATTTAAAAATTTTTTCTTCAAACAAACAATATTTTTATTTTTCATAATATTTACTTGTCACTTTTAAACAAAATCTAACTTGTTGCGCTGATAATTTTTCGATTTATTTTAGGTTATGTAGAATTAAGATAATCTTTTACATTTATTATAATAGTGGTTTTAAAATTATTTGCTTGATTAAATATTAAATTAATTTAAAGTATTGAACTCACATCGTTTTTAATTTTATTGCAATATTTTGATACATTTTATTTATTATAATTCAATTTTTGACAAATTATGTTTAAATTTTTCCCCAGTACTGCACGCGCTCAGTTGAATTTTTTAATATAAAGTATTTATATATGTATATACTAATTCTTATATGACAGTTAATAGTCAATATTACGATATTGATGTGCACACAATCAACATAATTACATGTAAATTATAGGTATATATGTACTTATGTATATATAGCAATAAGAATTAGAAGGGATTCGATTTGTTGAAAAATTTAAAAGTAAGAGGCAAACCACAAAAAAAAAAATGAACACTGACGTATGTATAACGAGCACGTGACCGATTTGTAACATAATTCAATTGTATCTTAATCTAAAAAGTTGCCACATGCTTAAATTTATCACCATATTATCCTTTTTTACTTCCATTTTTTTTTTTGTTTCTTTATTTTTCTTTTCTTTTTAGTTTTTTATCTCTCAATTTTCTTAATTCCCTTCCGCTAAGTACTTTTAACCACTAACAAAATGCTGTATTGAATGCATAATAAATATACGTAAGCAAAAATGTTAAGAAAAGTCAATGAAAATTAGAATTTTTTTTTGTGTGTTTGCATGCGTCAAATGAGGGAAAATTAACGTTGATCTGAAGAACAATGGGGCACTTATATTAACATTATTTCAATAAAATAAATTTTAAAAAATTTTTTTTATATTGGTTTTAAAATATATGGGCGGCTATTGTTCTTTTAACGAAAGTTAAAGAATTCCCAGTACAAGAAAATTATTTTCAGAATATTTTCTAATCTAATGTCAAGATTAAATTTCACAATTTCGAAATTAATGTGCATGAGGTTATACGTTTTATGTAACATGTTGTCGATTCTTTAATTTAAAATATTAAATAATTTTTACACAAATATTTAAATTATTCGATTTTTTTCGAATTATAGACAAGTTTTAATTTTAAATATCATCGACAATATTAACACGTACAAAACATGAATTTAAAAGTTTTTAATGGCGTAAGCAGAGTGGCGTAAGCCACAATGTGGGTTATGCCACTTTACTTTTGGAAAATTAAAAAAAATTTTACAAAAGCAATAGTACTTTTGTGAAAAATAAATAGGAAAAAAACTATTTCGAAACTGGGAACTAATATCACTGATTCTAGAAGACGTACATAACCGATTGCAGTACAAATTTTTTTTTCGCCACTCTGCTTCTGAGACTCTCATTTAATTCTTCATATTTGACTCATATCAATATATTTTTAATTTAAAATTCACCATTTCGTTTAATAACATGAATACTTTATTTTTGTAAAATAAAAAATGTTCACAATCCTTGATTACAAACGTATTTTGATTATTGAATGCAATTCACAATAACCACATATATAATAATGTAGGTACTTAAATATGTTTTGTGAGAAAAATTAAAGCAAAACCTGTGGATAAACCACAATCTTTATTTATTTATTTTTATTGAGCACATCCCAATAAGTTATTCAAAAAAAAAAAATTAAGAAAACAAAATAAAAAACACAAAAAATACAAAACCTAAACTTCTCGCATTCTTCCATTTAACAATTTTCAACAATAACATTTTTATTTTTTCCTTCTCTTTTGTGAAAAAAGAAATTTTTCTCATTCTGAAGAACATTAGAAAATTTACTCAACAAAAAAACAACAAGTAAATTTATTTTTCATTTAATTTTTCTTTTCATTATTATTTAATTTTATCTAAATAAAACTTGCATACTTTTCTAAGTAAACTAATGACAATTTTCTTGAAAAAAACTTTAAGAACTTAGCAATAATGAAACATACTTTTTCTCTTATTACAAATTTATTCCAATTGGAAAAAATTCACATTGATTACTATGGAAAGAAAAAACGCAAATTAGAAATTGTGGTGAAAGTTTGGAGAGTCCATGAGACGAAAAAATAAAAAAAAAATTATTTATTAAAAATATTGTGAAGGAAATTTAAAAGTTGTACATTTTACATTTATGAAAGAAAAAATTTGGAAACTAATGAAATTAATACAGAAGAAAACAGCATTTATGTTGTCCAATGGAGAAGAGCCAATATAAATGAGCACTAAAATGTGAAATGAGGTGAAGAGTAGAAAGTTCAATAATGAGAATAAAAACTATTATTATATTACTCTTCTTTTTTGTTTTTATTTATTGATTTTTACATACATACACTTAATAAACATTAAAAACAATATTTTTCTTTTCCCAAACTCAGAATATGTTTCTCATTATCGGATGACCAAATTATTATTATGAAAAGTTTATTATTTTGTTTTTACGAACAGAAGATAATATGAAAAACGAAAATAATGAAAATTTGTAGAAAAAATAATATTTTGAATATTGGTGAAACAAATAGATACTCGTACTTATGTACATATAAGTAGCTTTAATTTGGGGTAATTGACGTCTATAGAAATATGAGATTACAATTAATTTTGTTGATTGGCAACAATTAGGTTATTTTGGCTAAAATTAGAATTATGAAAAAATCTTCAATAATTACACTTTTTTATATTCAATAATTTCACATGAAAATCTTCATCTACATAACAAGTTGCCACAAATTTTTAAGCTACTTGTAAAATTTTTTAAAAAACGTATCACTTAGTCTCCAAAAAGGGGTTGTAGATTGACAAAAGGGGTTATTCAACATTGCATTGTTTTTATGGTTTATTCGTAATTTGGATAAATTTCATTCATTTTGGCTACTTCTGTATAAGAAAATTTGATTTTGTTATACAGAATGAGTTTTACCTCACAGAACTTATTCTGTATAACAAAATAGAATCTTTTGTACAGAATGAGTGTGTGAGTTTAAATAAATTAGAATTTTAAAATCATATATATATAAGTATAATATATTATAGTTCAGGATACTCATATGGTTTGAGTTTTATAATAATATATGTTTATTTCCGAATCAAAGTGATATTGATTTGAAAATATGTAACGTTTTCTTTAAAGTTTTTATATACGAAACGTATAACATATACGAGTACGTGCAAACAATAATTATCTATATGGAACTATTCAATAAAAGGAGAACTTGAATTGTAACGATACACAAACATTAAACAAATTAAAAAATTGAGTTAAAGTGAAAATTTTAAATAAATTAAAAAAAGAAGAAAAATATTGAATAAAATAATATTCTTATACCAAATATACAATATATAAAGAGTGTTACATAATAGTTTAAAAATTTTATTACAATATTGCATTAAAATATTAAAAATTTATTGACTATACTTTTAAAATATGCAATTTTTAATATCATTTTTTAAAATATTAGTTTGCAAATTAATATTTTTGGAATAGCATATATACAAAATTTATATACGGGTATAGCCTCATAATATTTTACCAAATGTTTATAAAAACTTATAAAAGTAAATATGCCCCTTTTATTTTTTATATACAAAATTCACTAATTTATAGCGTTCTCTTACAAACTATGACATAAAAATTGTCGAAAGAAATATTGAATATTAAGATAGAATGACTGTATGATTTATATATTTCATGGTTTCTTATACATAAACAAAATATAATCATTCCCCAATTCAATTTAAATATTTGAATAAAATTATGAGATTGTTATAATAGATATATAACATATATGAATTATTACAATACAACATTTAGGACAACATAAAGATGTTTTGAACTGAAAACAATAAAAATTAAAAAACAAAAAAGAGAAATAGAATTCAAAACTTATTGTAAATATTTTGCAACGCATAAGCATTTTCTGATTATGCTGCTTTTAACCGTGAATTATTGTTTTTTTTTTTCTTAGTCTTTCACATTCTGTGACACAAGCAAATTTATTTATCCTTTTATAATACATGCTATTATCTCCTATAATTCTAAATGAATTTTGGTATTATAAGTGAAATTCTTTCAGTACAATTTAAGCTAAACTTTCCGAAAAATCCAAATTCTATCACTTTTTGAGTCAGCTTCGAAATCTAAAAATAAAAAACAATAAAAATAAATCGTTAATAACTTGAAAATCTAATTTGATTTACAAGCGGGATCATTTTGTATCATAGTGCCACAACTACTCGCATTTTGATTTATCGAAATAAGCGACATTTTATTTTCTAATTTTGACATAGTTTGTTCTTTTCACTTGGAAATCTCTCAAGATCCAGTAACGCAATCAGCACATATTAGCCGTAACAGCAGTGGAATTCCATTCTTCCTGAGCTGCTAATTTTCCAAATCTCCAATTCCAAATATTCATCCTGGAAATCAAGAACTATTTTTAATATTTTTTGTTCTATTTGAAATATTTTACAAATATATCAATTATGTTTGACGTTTAATAGCAAAACTGACATCTTATGCAAATGTTTAATTTAGGATTATGGGAACGGCAAAATAAAATTTTTAGCAATTGTATGCCCTAAAGTAAGTTTGTTCAACTATAAATTTTTATTTTACTCTCTAAAACAAAAAAGTATACATATTTTTTTTTGAAAACGTTAACATTGATTTGAATTGCTATCGCGAATAAAATCATTATGCTCGTTTGATTTTACTTTCGTTAAAAACTAAATTGAATTATCATAAAATCGTAATGCAATGAATCTTCAACCAGTTCTTATACTTATTTTACCCCATTCTTATCACCCCATTTTTTGTAATGATTTCAAATATTTTATGTGGTGTATACGTACTTATTATCCTTTGCAGAAATAAAAAATGAGGAAATAATATTCATACATTGTAAATAAAATTTTATGTAATATTAAGATGAAAAAAACAAAAAAATAGGAAAAAACATAAATATATAACGAGCGTTTTCATTAAAGCGATCGCATCAGTATAAGAGTACAAAAAAAAAAAATAATTTTGGTTTGACTCCATTGAGATTTTAAAATGATGTAAAGAGCATTTAATTAAGCAGAAAGAAATTTTTACCATATGATTTTTATATTAGGAAAAAATTATAAACAAATGTACACATTTTTAATTCAATATTTTTAAATTATATTTAAAAATTTCTTTATGCCCACGACTTTATTGATGAAAAAAGGCCGAACGGTTTAAGATTTGTTGACCGTTTTCATGAGCTTTGTGTTTTAGAAAAGTTTCTTTTTTCTCTTTCTTAACTGATCTGTGCCACATATTATCTTGCAGTTTGCCCACTTTCCGATTACCCTGAGTTATGGGTTTCGGCCCTGTCAAATCCCAGAGCTTTGAGCTCTTGACTTTTCTCGGACAGAATATATATATGTACAATAAATATATATATAAGTTTTTGGTATTTGTTTATGAAAACTTGATTTTATGCAGGTGTTGAATATAGTTATTCGTATTATTATACATCTAGCCAACTGGTGTTGTCTCAGACCGGTCTTACAGTTTCCCAAATGTGATTTTTGCGAGTTTTATACGGTTTTCCATATCTTTTTCAGCATCTGTGATAATTATATACTACCAAGTAGTAGAATCCAGTGATATCTTCTATTTCTGTGTTGTTTATTTTTAGTTTGGGATTATTTCAGGCGTTAATTCTCATAATTTTTCTCCTTTTTTGTGTTTATTCGGAGACCGATTCTCAGGGCATTTTATTCCAGATTGTGTAATTTGTCTTGCATGTCTTTATCGTCTGAACATTCTAGGCTTTCTAGTCTATTCGTAATGATCCGTTTAATATCTCTAGCAGTAGTTGTTGATCCTGTTATGACGTCGTCTAACACCGCATTGAACAGGAGTGGAGAGAGGGAAGGGTCATTCTTTGAATCCAGCCTTTAATTTTATTGACTTGCTTAATTGGTCTTGATGAAGCACCGTTAATTATGAAAACATTATTTGTCAAATTCTGAAAAATACTTGTGCAACAAGTTATGTTATTTGCTAGACTCATCGCCAATAATCTAAAAGAAGAAGTTTGGCATGTATCCGATCTAAAAGAGAAAATAAGCAGAAATTAGTAAAAAAATCAGCATAATCATTTTGTATATAGTTTATAGTGCTACACAGAATTTAATTAATATAATCCATATTGTATGTTTGAATTCGTAGTTCGCAATCTATGAATTCTTCTGACAAAGATAGTAACATAATCAAAGCCACTTATAAATGTTATACAATATCCAAAAACGATGCAAAAAATTAATATCAGAATATAGACTCTTAAACAATTTTTCAAGTTTCAAAAGATTTTCAAAGACTTTCAAAAATAATTTTAATTTCAGTTATAATCTTCTTTAATCATCACCATAATTTCGTATTAATTAAATCAATTGTTATAACATTTTTAATTTGTAAATCCTTGTTAAAAGTAAGCAAATATGCATGAATATAGAATTTCTTAATAATCTTATTTTCAAAGACACTTTAGAACAAAAATTTGCTTCATAATTAATAATTTTTGAACATATTGACAAGGACGTACATATTTTTTTTTGTATTTTCGATTATAGAATAATTCAATATTAAATCCTCTTTACTTTTATTATATAATATTATATTATTAAAAATATCCCTTATTTATTTCATTTTACTTATGTTCTAAATATTATGTGCATTAAAAAATATGGAAATTATCATATGTAGAAAAAACTAAATGAATGAGAGAAAAAAAATTAGAAATAAACTAAAAAAAATTATTTGTATGTTTGTTTGTCGACATACTGGCATGACAGTCTTGTTACTGGATAGTAAGCAACTAGAAATAATTATTAATTTATTATAATTTTTAATATGACATTAAACGAAGTGTGTGTCTACGTTTTTATGTGAAAATCTGGGTTCAGGAAATTAAATTTACAAAATCCGTCAATGAAATACAACGAAAAACAAATGAGTCGAAAACTTAGAGGGGAAGATATCAAGCTCAGTGTGAGAGTACATTTGGTACGTGAATAAGACTTTTCTACAATTCACGATACTGGAATACAATACTACTATTGTAATACATTGTACTGTTGTACTATTGTACTATTGTACTATACATTGTACTATTATAATACATTGTTTATTGAAAATTGCTCTTTTTATCTTAGTTCGGAGCAGTTCGGTATAATTAACAAATGAAGAGTGGTTTTGTATAGAAATCCTGTTATATAAAAGTAAAAATTGATTTACTAATTATCATGTAAGAGATCTAAAATTTATTTTTACATTATAAACTTTTACCCACCGGAATAAATGTGCGTAATTACAAATCTCAACTCAAACAAACCTTTATATAGACTGGCGGTGATGTAATTGGAAGTATTAAACATCTAGAATTTACGCATTTAAAAATTTATATTACTTATAAGGGACCAGAAGCAATTATAGTGCTGCTTGGAGAGATATTACCTTTTCTGCCGTACAATACTTGTTGTACTCACTCTAAGTGATTTCATCAACAAACAAAATACAAATTTACTTTATTCTAACGTAACCCGTATTGCGATTTTTCAATTGCCCTGCCTAAAATTTATAAAATCAAGAACCTGCTGATGAAAAACTTTTATTTATTTTTCGATCAGTTATTAAACTCTTATAATATAGTTATAAAAAAAAATTCTATACACATATACAAATAAACTACAAAAAATAGACTTATTAGAACCACATAATTTTAGACAAAAACAAAAAAAAAAGAAAATTAAAACCTATTTTATAGAACTTAAACAATACGTTGAATAACTTTAAACATACCTTTTTTTCCCATTTCCTTTGATGTACAACAATAACAACATTTTACATATTATTTAATTTACAATATTCTTTCATTTTTGGCGAATATTCGTAAATTATCCTATATATAATAATTCTGCCATACAATGCCATCATAATTGTTATATACGTCATGTATGCAATATTTTTAGATCTCAGTATGCCTTCATCCGACTGTGTATTAGGAAAAATTAAATGAAATGTAGGTTTGTACAAAATGTTCGGTATGAATTTTTACCCCAACCCCTCTTAATAAAGTGATATTCAAGAACCATCTGTGCAATTTTTTAGTAAAAAAAAGAAATTAGTATTTTTTTTTTTTTGACTCATATACGCATAGACTTTATTATAAAGACCTTGAATAATAAGAAAAATCCAATATGAATGGAAAAAGATTCATTTTTATTAGAATTTTCATTAAAGAAAATGTTTGCAAGTACAAAAGCATACCGTATATTATTGTAAATTATTGAATGAACTATTTGATTATAAAATGTTGGCTTATTAGTTTTTAACTGGATTTATTATTAAGAAATGTTAAATTAAACATAACAGGACTGGACTACGGAATGCAAAAAATTTTCGTACATAATTTTAATTATAATTGCATTGATGAATTTTCTAACTTAAAAGTACTCAACAGTTTGACGCGTTCACTCTCTTTAAAAAACTTACACGAAGAGAAACGAGGAGAGACAGCGAAATAATAGAGTAACATGAGGAGATAGAGAGAAAATTTATAAGACAAACACAATTTATGAGACAAAATATCGAATACTATGATTTTATTTATTTTCAGGAGGATTTGGTTGAAAAGAGAACAAATTAACATGCTTCCTCAAAGGGCGAATTCAAAACTGCTATTTAGCTATATCACGAATGGCCTGGAAATTAGTAATTTTTATTGAGAACAAATATTTGATAAAAGAGACTATAAATTTCTTCCTTAACTCAAAAAGAGAACACATTAATTCAGATTCCTACAAATGACGCCTGGTCAAGGGCGAAAAGTAAAAATTCTCACTCTAAGCTTCATATTTTTACATTTCCCGCACGCTTCAAAAGATTAGTTAAAAATGTGTTTTGGCATTCCATATTTCAGCCTTTAACAACAATAGACATGAAATTTTGCGGCACCGAATTACATGTGTCAAACTTACATCTTTGTCATCTCACAAGTTATTTGAGTTCATCAGGAGGGTGGGTCTCCAGCGTGTGTTGTAGGGCATGCCCCGCATTCGGATGGGGGCGCACAATAGATTCTTATACGTGGTCGCGGTGCACTGTTGGCCACGTTGTACAAATCTACAAATCTACATCTTCGTCTTTTAATATTTAAAAAGTTATCACATACTCATATTATAATATATACCTGACATAGAGTACAATTTTAAAATCGTACGACCCTGTTTTGT